GAGAAGAGCGGGCACTAAGAGAACTTCTGCAGAGAAACTGATGGACTTCTAGTTCTCATGAGAGTTGACAATTAACAGGGGGAGAAAATAAAGACAAGTACCCTTCACAGTACTGAGCACTGTGTGTGTGTGTGTCACAGCTGTCCTCCAGCAATAGGAATCACCAAAAATCCATCAAACATCCTCTCACAATGTGTTATTATTTGAGGATCAAAATACAGTACTCTACCCAGAATGGAAACGCTTGCAAGAAAGTAGAGTAATGGCCTGCCTTTCCATTTAAAAGGCCAATACATCACATGCTTACTTTTCTCAGCCAACCTGTTTAAAACCAAAACTAATTCAATACAGCACTCAAAATCACTAATATTATAGCCCTAACTCACTCAGGCATCTACCAACGAGGTTAATTGTCCATTACAATTTTCAGCTAACATCACAAATCTGTTTATACAGGGGAGTACATTAGAAAGAGAATTTGACAGCAATGGATACATCCAATGTAAACAATTGCCTGGAGCGTGTGTATTATTCAGAAGCCTGACCAATACCTGAAGCAATCTCCCATTAATTGCAGGAGGGATTTCTTTGAAGCAAGCGTGCTCATGAATATTTATATTTAGTTTGGTTTATCGCAAGGATTACATCAGTGCACAGAGCTAATCTTTCTTCTGCACCGCCCCCCCCTTTCTTTCACACTACACCCGCCTCACTCTTTCCATGAGTATGCAGGCAGCTCACGAGTTAAAGCTGTTCTGCTTTTGCTTCCACACCCAGCGCAATCATTTCCTGAAGCCCTTCTTACAAGGGACTGTCAGTGGAAGAGAACATTTTATACCCTTTCATGGCCCTGTAAGACAGAAGACCTTTCTCGACTGAATATTCTGTGCAGAGCTTTGAGTCAGGCAGGCAGATTCATCTGACAGGCTGCCAGAAAACCACAGCCATTTTCTAGATAAGGCATCATCACAGGAAGGACTCCGAATACAATTTATCCTGAAGACTCAAGATTTGCAGGGATTCTCTTTTCTCTCTCGTGGTGCACGGACTTTGTGAATTGCTTCAGTTGCAGCAACTTCCTCACCACACAAGAATCTGCTTGGAGACAGAAAAGTCTCAGTTTTTCAGTACCTGACAAGATGCTTTAAACAGAGGCACGTGTTGTTAAAAACAAAAATATCCAGTTATAAGTTGAATCGGAAGAACAAAGCATGGGATTTTTCTGCTTAAGGTTGGGGTCCAGAGGCAGATAATGATTGTAAGATGATGTAATTGTCAGAGAGCTTTTTCAAAGGAAACTGCAGTAATCCTTTCCATGCCAGCTCTGTCTTGCACACAAGCCAAGGCCAATAATCTGCACCTTTAAAGTATAAGTGCAAAAAAGGAAGAACGAGAAGAACACAAACTGCACATCTGGATAACTATTTGGAAAATGCAGAGAGACAAGCTTAATCATTCCCCCAAAATGTGCTTTTAACAAAAGTATGTTTGTATTAAAAATAACTCTACTGGATGCATAGCATTTCTACAAATATAAGAAAAATACTTCTTCTCAAAGAAACTTGTCCACCAGGTTAAACCAAATTGCTACCAGTTATTAGTTATCCCAGAAAGAGGTGTTGGCCTCTAAAATCCCAAGCCAAAAATAGGAAGAGCGTCAACTATTTATTATCTTCAATCTTTTTATTTTTTTAATAAAGTTTTATTTGGGTTTTCACACACAAAATACAAGTTAAACATCGTTTTTGAAAACAGCATGGTCCCGGGTTGAACTTCTTTATACAGACACAAAACTCATGCTCCTTTTTGTATTCTATTCCATATCTTATACTATTTTACATTTTCTATATAGTTTTTCCCCTCTTTTAATTTTCTCAATTTTATTCTGAATCTCATCTCAATTCAAATCATTATATTTATCTTTTGTCTGTTCTGTTTCAATTTCATATTATCTTTTCTCATTAAACAAATTTTCTCCTGTAGTTACTAATTGGAGTATGACACCTTTATATCTTTTAATTACATCCATTCAACTCTTATTTAAACTTCAATATATACCTTAAGTTTATGACCTTCAATATAATACATAATACATAACTTCCAATCGAATTCTGCTTGATACATTCTTATAATACACACTATATTCTTTAAAAAGAAAAAAGAAAGATTGTAAATATATGTAATTATAAAACCTCATTCCATTCCAGTTCAGTTCTATCAATAATAATCATTAAAATCTTAACATCTTTAACACTTCTTTTCAATTAAATATCATACTTCCTTAAAAACACATATAATCTCCATAATTAATTTTTCCCTTATTTCTCTTCACATATGTTTTATAAATCATTAAATATACTTTTTGTTACATTTAACAAAATGTTAAATTACATTACAAATGTTAAGTTACATTTATTGACAAGCATTCCACTGAATTACAATAGCTATTTTATCAGACATTTTAATCATACATTGTTTCATATTTTCTAAAATTATTTCTGCTTCTAATATAACCATACTATCTTATGTACCTTTGCAGAATCCCTTTTTCTATTAAGTTTTCACCCATTATCTCTAAATAGGCCCTGTTTCTCTATATTTTGCTTCTGTCCTTTATAACTTCTTTTCCTTTCTTTCTTCCCTCTCATCTTCTCCCTCCCCTTTTTACCCCCTTGTCTCTCTATTTCTAATTCTCTCTTCTGCATTTCCCTCTTCTGTTGCTTTCTGATTTTATACTTATTTTTTTCACTCTATTTTTTTGGGGGGAGTTGTTTTTCCCAATCTTAAACTTTCCATTCTCTTTCCCCCCTTTCCTTTTTCCCCCCCATCTAAGATTACTTGTTCATTAAAGGTGGCTTCTTCTTTGTCGCAATCTTCTTGTTCTGCAGGCATTTCTTGTTGTTTCTCATAATTCCAAATCTCCATTTCTAAAAACTGAAATATGAAGCCAAAAGAACCTCTCCCTTCTTGTGCATCTTCTTTGTACTTTTTAAGTTCCATTTTCAGTTCTTCTAAAAGTGGAGCCATTTTAAACAGTTTTAAACAACCACCGATTGAATTTAGTCGTTCAAAACAATAACCAAGAATCCAGAAATCATCAAGTAATCCAGATAGTCCCGAGTTATATCTTCTTATTTCTTTTTTGATTTTCTCTTCCTGGGGTTTTTGTTACAATATTTCAGTTAGAATGTATCTTTTGGAAGTCTTGTTGAGATTTTGCTGTAAGTTCTTTTTTAATTCCAGGCAGTCTCCTCCCTTCCAGATCCTGCCCTTTTATTCTTTTTCTCTCCTTTCCTGTTTTCAAAAGCTTTTAATTATCCAGAAATCTTTATTATCCCTTTGACTTTTTATTTTCAGCATTAAATGCTTATTGATGTCAAAGTGGATTTTTTTCCAATTTCTTGCTTAAGTCTCTTAGCTGTCAGTATAGGAAAAGGAGAAAACCAAATCTTTTCCCTTTTCTCTCTCCTTCGCAGCTTAAAAATCTTCTTAGGGAACAATGTTATTGTTTTTTAATAGTTTCAATTCCAGGGTACCTTATTTGTTGCTTTTGCTGTTTGACCCGGTCAACCAAAACTTTATCTTCTTATCTTCCTCCTGCACATTCTTTTCCAGTCGAGTTCTTCTTTGTGGTGGTCATTTCTGACCACTACTGCAACCGCCTTCAGGAAAGGGAGTAATGGCCAGCTGAGGAGGAGAGATGCGGCTCTCCTCAACCCTGCAGGCAGTCTCCCCCCTCTTCACCACCTCTACGGGGTGGCTTAGCCCCGAAACCAGCCGGCTCGGGGCGCTCCAGTGGTGCGCACGGATCGAAGCCTCGCAGAGACGAGGTTTTGGTCTGTCGCTGAAGAAGCTCAAACTAGAAGTCACTATTATCTTCAATCTTTTTAATATGGCCTTTCTTATTTAATAATCCGTTATTAAAGTAACATAAAATTCTATAACCCAGCCCAGTATTTCACAATAAAATTGCAATATATTGCTACAATAAAGAAACCTGACTGGAGAGCTCTTCAGCTTTTAGTGTTTCTTTGAAAATGAATTAAAATTTGACAACACCCCCCAGGCATATATAGTATAATCTATGAAATATAAAATTATAGAAAAGAATGCTTTTACAGTTTACAAATATACCCACAGTTAAAACTGATAATTAAATGGTATGTATCATTAAACTGCTTCTCTGATTAAAAAAAAAAAAAAAAAACAGGCTCCTGAAAGCAATTTGTGCTAAGGACCAGAACAAAATATCAGCATCACATAAACACACATTTGCCTGAATAGCTTATCTCTAGCAATGAAAAAACAGGTTAAATCAGAGCGACTTCAAAAGCTGTTTTATCCATTTGTTGGGAAAAGATTTCTCATGTCATGAAGTTCCAAATGAAATGGCTGTTTCTTAAGCTGTGTTGTTTAGACATAGCATATGGCACCTTTTACTACTCTGTGGTTGATATTAATCGTGATGGATTGTTTCTTGGGGTGGGTGGGTGTAGATACATTATTCTACAAACACAGAAGCTTTGCTCCTTCTGCCAATTCAAGCCAAAGAATGAGTGGCAAGAGAATCCTTCAAACACAGAGCTCTTCTAAGTTGCCCTGGCACGAAAGAGCTATTGCTAAGAGAGGGGAAACATTTTACAGCTTTTGAGTATGTTGCTCCCCTTCCAAAGGGTTGTAAAGTATATGTTAATGATATAAGAGGAAATGATGTTCTTGTCCTTTCAGTTATGGGAAACGAAGGTATTACAAATGAAGGCATATATACCAATTCCAGAATAAGGTTGCAGGATCCTTGTGCTGTGGTGGCACAGTGGTTAGAGTGCAGTACTGCAGGCTATTTCTGCTGACTGCGATTTGGCAGTTCGAGTCTCACCAGGCTCAAGGTCGACTCAGCCTTCCCTCCTTCTGAGGTGGGTAAAATGAGGGCCCAGATCGTTGGGGGCAAGAGGCTGACTATGTATATATGTCTAAGTGCTATTGCTATCTGGGTCACTCACTAGGACCACAGGTTTTGTTTTGCGAACTTTTGAACTCGTGCAGCAGCTCATTCACAAGGAACTTCTCTCTAGCGGTGTGTGTGCTAGTTAGAGGTTCCCTGAGGATGGAGTCCAGCATGAGTCTTGGAAAACTAAACTTTTGGTCCTGGTAACCCACCCAGATTAGATCCTGCAATGAAAATATTTTCTGTTAATGTAAAATAGATGTATTAATTCTAGCTGATTTCTTATTAGAGGCTTGTTTTGGTTTAACTACAATCTCCCTCATTTTGCCAACATATTTCTACATCTATTATCAAACTCCAGTGGCATAATTGCCCCGGGAGGGAAGTCTAGGGGGATATATATGAGCCAGACTGACCTTGCCTAAACTATCTATTTATCGAGCTAGGTCTTTTTCATATGAAATGGCTGAAAACTGTTCCTGCTGCTTTACGTTCCAAGCAAAGACACAGATATAACCAAGTAAAACATAACAGTACAAAACATCTTTATACAGGTAGTCCTCAACTTAAACTATCCATTTAATGGGTCGTAAAATGGGGCATGAAACAACTCTCTTGCTCAGTAATAGAAATTTGGGGCTCAGTTTGAGTACTATCTCTATGGAATTTGCCAGTTTATCTTCAAGTAAGTACTTCATTTCACCTGATTTTAAAATTATTTTTCTTCCTCAAACCTTACAATCACAATTAACTCCTTTACTTCATTCACAAGACTGATGTAAATGTTTATGCTGATTGTTCTGAGGGCAAAGAGGCTGGCAGGGTACCAGGGCCTGAGCACTTTTTTAAAGCAAATTAAAATTACCCTTCATCCAAATGATCAAGGAATAATATAACCTTCCAGGCAGCAAGGTGAATGATGATAGCTGTAAATTGGCAATAGCTGGGGAGGGATAGGAGTAGTACGTGCTCCCTACTCCTGTTTTAGGGTTCATCATAAATAAAAAGTAAGAGCATTTCATACCATGAAGTGGATTTTAAGCATTATTTACTATCAGGGTAACATTCAGATAGGATCAATAGCTAAATGGAACCGGGAAATGGATGTCTGAGTATAGAGTGGGATTCCTTTTCCTTTTGTGGTATTATTATTGTTATTTTACACAGCAACCATATGAAAGGCTGGGTTAGTTCTCTATAATATTAGAACCAATTTGTCTTTCGAATGTGGCAGTGCCTCCTTCCTTTCTACCCAACTCACTCCCAACAGCTGGATGCCAGTGATGTTGGCAGTCATTGTTCATTGGTTGCCAGTTTTGTTCTGGGTCCAACTTTAACTATTTAAAAGGGGAAGAACTGCACTTTTAATGAGCTACAAAAGCTAGTAGAATTATCAGTCCGATTCAGAAGTGTGACTGGCTAATGAATAGTGCAACTAAGAACTCACAACAGACTCCCATAAAGAACATTCTCTTCTTCTCCTTCTTTGATCACTGTGATTTTTCAGATTAGCATAAAGTTCAGCTCTGTAGTGTCTGGAATGTTGTTTAAATTTTAAGCTACAATTTTGAACCCAACAGGAAGTGATAGCTTGTGCAATATGGATGGTAAAAGAAATGTGAGCATATAGGCCTGATACGTCTTCCTGGTTTGTATCACGGCCACCTGCATCATGTTGCCTGGTTGTCATATCATACCAAGCCAAAATTTATGTTCAGACTTTGCTGAATAAAACATTTATTTCATGGCAAATCGTCACTGATGTAATTGTAATCCAGGGTATAGCGCAAACAATAATGGCTGGATTCATGCTAGACTCAAACCAGCCATGTTGAGACTTATCAACATGTATTAACACAGCCGCTATCTTCTGCAAAAGACTACAGCAACTGTAGATGCTCTGATTGAAATCTCACCTGTTACACAAGGATTAAACTACCTAAAATAAACTATTACCCCTCCATGTCTAATTCCTATCTGAGAATAATTCTACTATATATTTAAAGTTGTTGTAAAAATTACCCAAAGCGTATGCAAATACTCAAGGCCTGATTGCTTTTGATGCTTGAATTAACAAATCATTGCATAACCATTTAATGAAGTACAGCTTCAGATATCCAAAACGTTAGTAAAATCAACCAGTTTTATAAAATGCCGGAACAAGCGTTTACAGAATTCCATTTCCCACATCTGATGGGTCAAACATAACCTCAGTTTTACATATATATATATATTTTTCAAAGGACTTCCAATCCTATACATGACCTACAGTAAATACACCGAAAGGCCCATTTCTGAATATCAGTGGCAGGAAGGATCAACCTCCTTCCCTGGAGAGAGATTCTACGCTCTTCATTCCGGGCTAGCGGATCATTCACCACCAAGGGATACTAGGAGTAGGCAAGTAATATTGGCAGCAGGTGTTCGTGCCATCTTCCGGTAATTGGAGAATTGGAACACAGATGCCTCCACTCTGACTGAAGCAAACAGCACACCTCCCCACTGTCAACAAAGTATCAAGGGAAAAAAATGATCACCCTTCAAAGTCAAGCTCACATGAAAGATCACAGATTCTCTGTTTCCCTTTGCTGATCGCTGCTCTCCTTAATTCATATGTACAAAGTTATGCATCCCGTAGCGTGACAAAAACAAAAAAAAAGCCACTGGCCCACAAGAAGCGCTAAACTATCAAAATGAAGATAGGGCAATGTCTTACAAAAGTCAGTGGGCTAAATTTTAAGCTACCTATTTTCTACACACAGATATTTATTTTGGCTCAGGTACCCAAAAACTTGCAAGTCCAAGGCAATCTATATATGTAAAGCCTGCAAACTTGAAATTTGGCACGTACGTTCTTCTTGGCTTCTAGGTACTCACTAAGAAAGGATTTTTCGAAATGACCATCAGAACATTAGTATTTCTGATGCTAAGGAGTTCTACCCTGCCTGAAAAGAAATCTGTTCCAAATGCAAAACACAAGCAGAGGAGTTTCAGTTTTAGTTTCACAGCAGCAACCAGCTTTAGTATAGAACAGTTGAGCTAAGCCACACCCAGGCTCCTTGCTGTCTCCTTCTTGCTCACACAGCAAATACTCTTTCAGTTTCCATGTTTCAGTTTCCAAACAGCCCTCTACTCTTTCACACACTGAGAGGATGCTAGCCAGATGAATGCCAAGGCATGCTGATAGGAAGAGGCAGAATCTTTTCCCCTTATTTTCTTCCCCAAAAACTAAGCCCGACCACAGTTTCGTAGCGAAGCACAGGTATTGAGCTAGTCCTAGAATAAGCAAAGGTCTTCACAGGAAAGAAGCAATTTTGTTGTATGTTAAAGATTTGCTTTCTTTAAAAAGCATGAAAGTACCAGGTAACCAATTAGGCCTTTTGTGATAGTGAAAATACAAAGTTTTAAAACTTACCCACTGGACTAGAGCCAGTTCCATTTGGCACTGAGAGATCGGTGGTAGTCAACATCCCACCTAGTTAAAGAATGGAAAAAAAAATATGTATTACATTCCATCTTATATACCGAACGAGGGTAGCACAAGGTGGTATTTGTTGGAAAGAGTTTATAGACTTATAGAATAAGTCTTACCTGCGCTACCTGTACTTGGGGGTCTCTGAGGACCTCCAGGTGACACATTTCGATGCAATGAAGCTTGAGGAGGAGTTAGCAGTGTGGGATCTGTCAAGGTAGAGCTTGCTGCCAAGGCTGAGGATACAAGAGAGCTCCCAGGGCTACTATAGTTTAGAGAATTGGGGCTGGATACAGGAACAGTGACCGACATTGAGAAGTTCTGCGGAGGCAACCCAGGCTGGAAATGGGGAGGGGGAGGGGAATTAAGTGAGAAAGAAAAGTACAACTTTTGAAATCTTAAATTGTAATCAAGTGTTAAAATACTAGCTTTGATATTTATAAAATACACAGATTATAATTCTTGTTTAATGCAAAGTATTGGCATCTGTCACAGACTACTCAAACGTTTCAAAATTAGTTAAGAGCTTTTTACTTCCTTCAAATTCATCAGTTTAGAAATGGCTTATTCAACATTGCAAGTAGGACATGAAACAGGTTAATTGATATTCACATGTTACATTCAAGCAAATGTTCAATGAAAACATATTGGCTTAAAAAGAAAAAAAGAACCCACAAACAGTAAGTTATACTGCTACGATCAGAAATACCATGCGGATAAAAGTAGGCTAGTCATAAAAATTCTCTAATGTTTTTTTAACAGTTGAACATAAATTTGATTTCATACATTGAAAGTTTAAAAGTTGCTGGGGGCTAATAAACTGTTAGTGTGTGTTATGATATTGTAACAGTATTTGTGTGCGTGTGTGTGTGAGAGAGAGAGAGGTGGGAGAGAGCAAACTTATTAGCTTGTGGAAGGAATGTATTTGAAAGAATGTTACACTAAAGTCATCTACACATAGATAAAGTTTATAAGCCCCTCTATTTATAATGCTCCCTTATGGCTTTCAAATTCTTCCTCAAAACTCATCTTTTGCATGAAGCTTTTAGTCCTTTTAGTTTATATATTTTGCTCTAAGTGCAGCCAAGCATATAACAATCAAGTTTCCCATATTTTTCCTATGCTATATGGGATTTTTGGCATTTTAAGGCTCTTAGGACAGCCATTTTTCTTCCTGTAGTCTGTTAGGTGTTATGCATTTGAAAGGTACCATGTATGATGATGAAACTAACTAACTAATGATTTAATAGGTACAATTTGGATAATTACGTAAGTACATGAATAAGGAATTTACCCTACAAGGTGCATTAGAGAGCCTCCTCCTCTGTTAACAGTTTTGTCAGTTTTATTGATTGATTGATTGATCATATTTGTACAGCCAACCATCTCACTAAAAGCAGCCCACCAAAGTGACTAAGGACAGACCTGTGACATCGTGTTTTTAAACATACATATTTTACGAAGTGACACTCCTTAACGTAAACAGTTCCTTAAACTAAAACAGTGTTATGGATACTCTCTTGGGAAGAAAAAAAAAGAGAGAGAGAATTGGTTTTCATCTGTCTATGGCTCCAGGTTCGCCAGGAGATATACCACAAAGGTTTACATATTTCTAAGTTCTCGTGAGGGCCGGAAGCTTCTTACTGAAATTAATTTCCTTAGTCTCTAACAGGCTTTCCTTGCTGCATTCTGCACCAAAGAAGATGTACCCCTCAGTGGTGCGTTTCAAAAATTGTTACCACCGGTTTGGTGGGTATGGCTTGGTGAGCGCACTTTGCACACACGCGTACACTTTGCGCACGCCGCCAAACATGCACTGTGCGCAGGCGCAGGGGCGTTTTGATTCACCCCCTGCGATCCTGCACTCTCCCTGCAGCTGCGTTTCAAAAGCAGGACATCAAGGTTAGTATGGGAGCCCAGGTGGGCAGGCCCGACACAGAGTGTCGGAGAGAGACAGTTCTGTCTCTGCTACTCATCGCGGCTACCGGCTCAGCAGAACAGGGCCGAATCAGTAGAGTACCACCACTGGTAACCACTCAAACTGCATCGCTCAGCAGAATTTACATCAATAGGATTATAATGATAACCATTTAAGGTTTCTACCTCGGATGGACACACTCGAACAGGTACTTCTGCTTTCCAAGCCGAAGTAGCCACAGAAGGTGGCATCACAAATTCTTCTCATGCACGTAACAAGAGCACAAGGCATACCACAGTACTCACTGCGATTTTATGATTCCGCATCATATTATCAAACTCTTCATTAATTTTTTTATATTTTTCTTCTGTATGTGGCGTGAGCACATAGGAAGTGTCAGGGTCTGGGCTGTCGCACCCTCTGTTTTCCTTCTTGTTCAGAGCCTAAATAATGAAGTTAATAAAAAGAATCAACAAATAAAAAGTAGGAGCCAAGAGAAGTACTTACAGGGCCTCGCTTGAAAATAAAATCACTATCTTCACTTAGTTTGCTGAATCTGTCATCCGAGAGAGGGCTGTGCTCAAAGTAATCGTCAGGATCGGGGCTCTCACAACCATTAAGGCCTTTCTTTCTTAAAGTCTGAAATACAATTGGAAAATTCACACACACAGGAAATACTACACGTGCCATCTTGTCGTCATTTCAACTGCAAAGCTGCATTAAGACGGCACCGACTGTTGCACAGCGACTGTTGAACAGCCAATACTGATTTCTTAACACACTGCAACTTTTCAACATTTGCAACAGAACTATAATTCCCCATCTCCTTTGTGTAATCACCCCATATTTTTTTTTTCAAATTTCCGGCATGCTTTACACACACAAAAAAGTTTAAACTCATTTAATGGGAAATTAGGAGTAATGCATTTCATTAGTAGTAGTGGTATTAATCTGTGATTTAAATCACCAATGAGTGATGAGCATTTCCAGGTGTTCCCTATGCAATTGAACCCATGTCCTAGAACAAGAGTGGGCAGGAGATTGCCTGCCCTTTATCAGGCAGGTACACGAAGGATCATTGTGCTTTCTGTGCTATGATTTTAGCTTCAGGAGATCTCAAGCATCAAACAGCTTGTTACAAGACATTCTGTGTTACTTTTCCCTCTGCTTTTGTTTATTTTAATGCCAAATAAGTCTGAGAACTGGAATGGAAAAACAGCAAGAGAAAGAGGCTCTTAACCCCTTCCTACCTGCTGTTCACCTCACCATTCATAATGCAAACTCTTAGAGAAATGGAACAAGCTATTCTTCTTAATAGGTAAATGAGGCTTCTCCTCGCTTCTGAATAGGTAAATAGGTGATTTCTGAGCTATAATACACTCAACAGAAAGAATGAAGCAGCTTAAACTCCAGGTTCTTTCTCCGTGTAAACCTCTATAGTTTACAAGTCTACAGAATCACTATTATATTGACCATTCAAACATTTGTAATAATCTTTTCATTAAAATTATGTATGTTCTCATACACTAAAGGTAGCTTCTGTCCCACATTCTCCACAATGTCCTGCAAAATGCAATTGTTCCTCAGAAGACAATCATTGTGAAAAGGCAGTCAGCTTGGAAATCACTTTCTAAGCACTGGTTAAAAGCTTGTTGCCAGAAGAGCTACAAGCTTAACATCTCAAAGATATGACAGTACATTCTGATCTCAGACCTCTTTTTTTGTCCTGTTCTGTGAGTCCAGCAACTTAGTTTACAAACCAAAATGCATTGTCAAATGCATTTCATTGCAAGTACAAAGAGGAGTCTGAAAGGAACACAGTATGTCCATTCTATTCACCTTTAAAAAGGAAACCTCAATCTTTTTTATTTTGAAAGGTACACACAGTGTGCTTGCACATTCAAGACAAAGTTTTTGGGACACTGCTAGCAGAAAAATTTCCATTTTTTAACATTTTAGAGCAAAACCCATAGCTCTCATTTCATTATAGCTTGCAATTCTTACCAATAATATAGCAGGGATTAAATATCTTGACTTTTAAAAAAATCTTCAATTTTGTTGAAACAAATTTAAAACTATTAAAAGTTTTAAAATCTAAAAAGTGTGTGTGTGTGTGTGTGTGTGTGTGTGTGTGTGTGTAAATAATACCCCTGCTTCATAACCTTATGGTACTTCTTCAAGACAAGTAAAACAACAAAAACCTATTCACTTTGTGGGACTGTTGCACTTCCATAACAACTTTTAAACTTTAGAAGCTACAGTACATTTAAGCAACATTTGGCTTGGGTTGTTTTTGTTCCCCACCCTCAAGCAGCATCAAAGTGCTCTCAGCATTTCACATAACACAATCAAATTCATGTAAAGATCAGAAGGCACCCGTTAGGAAATAATTCCTTCTCGGGTTACTTGGCATAATATTCTGCCCCTCTCCCCCCCCCTTCTCAGTGCCTTGAACTCCCACTAAATCAGCCCACATTGAGAAAACAGGTGTAGCTTTCACCAACACCTGTCACAGTACTTATCTTGACTGTCTAACCAATCAGGTGGATACTTATATGGCCTTAACCATACATGGTCCTGCAGTCTAAGACTCTGAAAGCTGCTAGCCCTCCCAAACCTCCAACAAGGGTTGGCTGCCAGTCTTTTACTCTGTGATATCAGCAGGGAAAATGCTAACACTACAGTCTGGATTACATTTAACCTTTGCAAATTATTGAATACTATAAATAGACTCAGAAAGCTTCTGGCATTCATAAAGGAATGAATACATTTTGCCCAACATGACCTGACGCTCCAAAACTGCATACTGAGAAAAAGGAAGTTATTGATGTTACAGACTGCAAATAAGTTTTTTTTTTTAAAAAAAAAAAGTTTATATAAGGCAGAGTTTATATACTACTACTGTAACACTGCCACTGCGTTCTTCATTATTCCCCAAGACACATTCCAATCTCATTGTATTGCATGCAATACATGACTGCCCTAGAATCTAGAGGTATTGTGAATTGTGAAATTCACCAATTTGGCTGAAGCATAATTTCTGAACAAAAGATAATTGCCTTCTGTTAACAGTTGTTTTCAGAAGAAAATTAACCCGTAACTCAGTAGGAAAGGAAAAATCTTATTTATCTTCCACTTCTGAATCTGGGCACTTTCCTTTCCAGTCAGGTTCTGGGGTGTCTTAGATACTAATTTTGTGATATTTAAAAGTTTGCTCTTCTAATCTCTTTCACAAAGCTGTCCTGGAGGCTTAATTCAGATAGAAATGTCACATTTTATCACTATTGAGTAATGTAAGAGCAAAACTGTTACTCCTATACGTCAATGGAAAGCAATGGGACAGCTAACATCTAGAAGCAAAAATCCAACAGAATGTGAGAGATAAGCCAGACCAGTTCTCTCTAAGGCAATTTGTCAGAGATAACAGATTCTCATCCATAACAGAGAAGGGTCCTATTTCCTGGAAAGCAGCCTACTTGCGCTCCTTTTCAAGTTTTCTTCTCTCTTAAAGAAAACACAGTGTAATAACTAGGTAAATGAATGTTTCTTTTTGCCAGTCTCGATAGAAAGACAAGTTATCCCAACCATTTCTCAGCTAAGCACAGAAAAATGACCTTCCTATGAAATGCTATACTGTGTCAGGGACACTTACAAGTAATTAAGATTTGTTATCAGAATGGATTGACTGCCCAAGGAAGGCCTATATATGCCATGCCAGAGCCCTTCCCTCGACTCATAAAGCAAGAAACAGATTCTTTGGGAGAATATTTTCTTAAATTGCATCATTAAAGTTAGTCCTGCTAATGCTGCTACCAAACACTTTCAAATACACAGAATTAGCCACTAGCCTCACACCACTGTACAATTCCAAGGGCTTCCAAGCCCAGTGTAAGATCAGAACTGGTGTCCAAGCTAAAATAATGTAACACTGATTACAGATGAATTGGTTAACAGCTTAGTAGGTTCATAAGCTTGATGAGGTCCCACTCAACCACATATTGCTCCAACCTTATGGCCATACTGCCTCCAAGAAACCAGAAGATAACAGCCATCTCAATATGTGTCTCACAGAATGTTATCATTTTAATAGGGTCATTTAATAGGATCCCCAGGTCACAAGAAACAACAAAGAGCACCAGCATTCCACATTCCAAATGACCATTTCACAAACTCATATACTGTCACTAAATGCTTCGTTTCTCATAAACTCTCACATTGTTACATGAAAAAAGCTAGTTGAAAGGTAATTAGCACAGTGCTTTCTCGACTCCTAATAAGTAAAGGCAATTAAAATTATATTTGATTAAACTGTAGTGATTTTAACTTTTACTATTGCTTTGTTTTTTTTATCTAATTGCAAGTCATAATATTTGCATCACTCGTTTGGGGTTATAAAATTAAGATGGTTATTTTTATTTAACTGCATATCTAAAGTAATAATGGAGGTTTCTCATTTTCAATTTCATGAATAGAGTGATACATAGTATTTTTCAGCAACAGGACACTCTTTGTTTTGAAACTTGACTGAAGCTTATACAATATGTTACATGAAATGTTCTTTTCTTTCAATGTGTAATTTCCATGGTTCTTCATGTAGTGATACTAATGAAATCTGCGCACACCTAAAAAAAAACAAGCCCTTCTAATACTTTTTAAGTAGAGGATATTCCTTCCACCTCTTTATACTTTAGACAATCCACTATATCCACAGCAATCCAGATTAATACTGTGTGCAGGAGACACTGTGCTCTTTATTGGTATATGCAATGTTAAAAAATTGAGTAGTTAAATCCCAGCATTCCTTCATGTTTTATTCTCCTTAAACAGTGGTGTATCTAGCCACCCTGTTGCCTTTTTCTGAGGAACTGGAAGGGAAACCCAAAATGCAAGATTTGTTTTCCTCTTTTGTAATCTCTTAGGGCATAAAAATCCTGGTCCAACTTCTGCCAACCTCTCTCCCAGGATGCCATTGTTTGGATGCCTGCAATCTCACCAGATATAAAACTCAGTGGCTATTTGACAGGAAAGGACTTTATACAGCTCAGCAGTATCAGGAAAGCTAGCTTTTCTTTTTGTTTAACTCGGTGGTTCTCAACCTTTTCCTCACTATGGACCCCCTTTAAATACCTTTTGGGGCCACGGAACACCAAGTATAACTCAAGATTTAAATTGTAATATTTCTTCAAGCCTTTGTGTGGGCCCAGGTTGAGAACCACTGGTTTAACTGCATCGTTCTGTGACACTTTCAACATAACCAATAAGACCAAGGAGCTTATAGTGGACTATAGAAGGAACAGATCAGACATCCAGCCCTTGTTTATCAATGGAGACCGAGTGGAGCAAGTGGCCAGTTTTAAGTTTCTGGATGTTATCATAAAAGAGGACCTGACCTGGGGTGCTCACATTGCAGCCCTGGTCAAAGGGGCCCAGCAGAGATTATACTACCCTGAGGCTTCTCAGAAAACAACAACTGAATGAAAAACTGCTCGTGACCTTCTACCACTGCACCGAGAGTATCTTAACTTACTGCACCTTACTGTAGGGTTTGCCAATTGCACAATGACAGATAGAAAAGCACTCCAGAGGATTAATGTCATTGCCCAGAAGATCATTGGTTGCCCTCTCCCCTCTTTGGAAGA